AGGGCCAAAGTTAAACCTCTAAACTATTCCCAGGTGCCTTCAGTACAACAAGGCCCTGATGAAAACCCCCTTACCTTTCTACAGCATCTTAAGGAAGCTATCCGAAAGCATACCACAGTGGACCCAGAGTCACTGTGAGAGTGGACAGAGGTGGGAGAGGTTCTCCTCAAAGATAAATTTCTAACTCAGTCAGTCCCAGGTATCTGTAAAAAAAAAACTCCAAAAGTCTGTGGCTGAAGGGGAAATGTCACTGGACCAACTAATACAAGTAGCCATGTCTGTATACTATAACCAGGACCTCACTAAAAAGGGAGAAAAGGATGAAAAAAAAACATCATGACCTAATCAAGCTCTCAGGGAGTGCCCCACCCAATGGGGGCCTACATCCTGACTTGCTACCACTGTGGACAGAAGGGACACTTCCACAGGGAATGCCCAAAAGGGGGACAGCCAAGGAGACAGCCCCCTCTGCAAAGGTAACCACTGGAGGTCTAAGTGCCCCTGTCTCCAGGTGAAAGGTGGGGTGCTACCTCCTATAGATTGATAGATCCTGGCATCTCCTGTCCAGGCTCCACATCTTGACATCAATTTTCAGGAGCCTCAGGTAGCCATAATAATAGAGAAGCAAAAGGTTATCTTCCTCCTAGACAGTGGAGCCCATTTCTTTGTCTTACCATTCTCACCTGGTCCCTGGTCCAACAACAAGATTATCATTCAGGGCATATCTGGCCAGCCCCTAGAACACTATTTTACTTGGCCTCTGGCCTGCTCTTGGAGAGACCTCCACTTCTGTCACTCTTTCCTCATAGTCCCTGAGGCTCCAGTGCCCCTGGTGGGACAAGATTTATTATCTCAACTAAAGGCTCAAAGACTACTCCCCACAGGGGACTACCTCTGTTGCCCCCTTCTTCAAAAACAAACAGATCCCACATTGTGGACTGACGAAATGACTGTACAACAAGCAAATACAGCCCTCTCAATTCAAATAAATCTAAAAGACACCATCCAGTTCCCCCATCAACAGCAATATCCCCTAAAGCCTGAAGGACAACAGGGTAAATTGCCCATTAACTCCCTAAAACGACAGGGACTTTTTAACACTCCTATTCTTGCTGTCCAAAAAGTACCAGATAAATAAAAACTTGTTGAAAACCTCTGCCTCATTAGTAAAGCAGTCATTCCCCTCCACCCAACTGTTCCCAATCCCTATATTCTATTGGCTCAAATACCCTCTGTACTAGACTTAAAGGATGCTTTCTTTTACATTCTTCTACATCCTCACAGTCAGCCTCTATTTGCCTTTAAAGATCCCACTAACCCCTTACAACAGTGAGCTAGCCAATTCTTAGTCCTTCTGGAACAACACATGAAGCTGGGCACTACATCTGGCTGGCCCCCTTTTTATGCTCCTTCTAATATTCCTATTTGGGCCTTGTATAATAAATGTTCTCTCCAGATTCATATCTCAACAGGTCTAATGGATCAAATTCCAGCTCTTAGTCAAGGAATACTCACCTCTGCCTACACATGAGCCCTCCATCCATTTCTACTGGGGGGCCTCTGGTGATTATAGGGGTCAGCCCCTGAGACAAGTACCACCATACCTACCCCGCCACCACCACCCCATTGCCAGCAAGAAGCAGCTAGACGAGTCATCGCCTCTCTCCCCAACAGCAGTTGGATACTTGTCTCAGAGGGGGGACTTGTTGGGTCTGGGGACCTAAAGGACAGATGAGTGAGTATACCATTCCTCATGGAGAGCACTATGAGCCCTGCACCCTGAGGAGTTACATGGTCTCATAAATCTGCATTCCTGCACCCTAAGGAAGAGATACATGGTCTCATAAATCTGCCATGGGGCTGATAAACAGAATGCTCCCAAGGTTGTTTCCCCCCATAAGGGGCAAACAGACCAGCTCATCAAAGAGAACCCGTGCACACGCGAATCCACAACCAAGAGAGAGAACCCACCTAATCCTCACCCTCACCCAGAGTTAAAGTGTCCATAAAAAGCCCCAGCCTTCACCTGAGCAGGGAGCCATTGGTTTCCAGGCTTCACTACGCTGCTCTAGCTGTAGCCTTTTCTTTCTCTAATAAATCCTACTTTGTGTGCTGCATTGCCTTGCGAGTCAATCAGCTGCCTCACGAGTCAGTCAGCTCCCTCACTAGCCAATTCTTTGGCCTGTGAAGGCAAGAACCCTCAACACTGGCCCGCAACACCACACACCCGTATCAGAGGTCTAGTTCCCCAATTCACAGTGAAGTATTAAGTTCCTTGAGTTCTCATTGTCTAGGTGAAGAATGGATGTTGAAAAGGATTTATCAGTTAGGGTCTTTTCATACACATCTAAGCCAGCTGGACTAAAGAAGTAATTTACTGGCTCACATAGCTGAGTCTAAAGGAATACCAGCCTCAGGGAAGTCTTGATCTAGAGGTGCTCAACTGAGGTGACCAAGTCAAAAGATAGTTCCCAGGAGTCCATTGACTATATGGTCAAATTGAATTTTGGTGGCAGGGAGGAGCCTTTATCCCAGAATTACTAGCAAATGTCCTAAGATTCATTCCCATTCATCTGACTCAGGTTGCATGCCTGTCATAAGTGGACATTTACTCCACTCATACTCATACAAATTCTTCAGAATATATATGAAATGCAGCATATTAAAGTTGACTTTAGTGATTTAACTTTTTTATATTATGACATAATGGTATTGCTGCATTTACACTGATGGGAAAAGCACACCATACAGCCATACATCTTTATCTTCTTAGAAAGTTATTTTTCCCATTTTTCATCAAAACACACAAAGCAGAAAAAAAAGCAAGTAGGGGTACAGTTCAGGGTAGAGAACATGCTCACTAGCATGTGTTAACATGTGCATGGCCCCACGTTCAATAAGAGCACCAAAAAGAAAAGGTAAATTCTTTTTTGAAGATACTGAATGTACCTCACTTTTTGAAGGACTCACAATGTTATTACTAGATTCCCTGGTAAAAATGACAAACACAGGTTTATGAATTTTCTTCTTAATGTTACTGAAAACACCACCATAATTTTCAGAAAGAAAAGAAGATCTTACCTCATTCTTTTTCAAGATTATAACAAGATTTAAAGGAAAAGACAAAAGAATACATGTCCATCTTGAGTTGGGAGTAGTGATCTGTTTAACAGAGCTTTAAAATATTAGCATCAAATCATCTATTCTCTGGCTCAAGAGCCCTCGTACTAGACTCACTGCCAAATATCTTCCCCCACCCCTGCCTGCTCAAAACACAACTAGGTACTAAGAACAGAACAGATGCACACTTTAAGGAACCTATGTGAATATACATTGTAAAAGAAAGTAACAGTTATTCGTGAATTGTTTCTTAATATTCCTGGCCCTCAATTCTCTAATGAGCACAAAAAATAAAAGGCAAAGTGTTCTGTTTTTGTAACATAGAAGAATGTGAAAGTCAATACTCAAATGTATAGAAGTTGTGCTGATGGTAAACTTAAGACAAAAACAAAAAGCAAAATCCAGGCCACATATTTCAGAGTAGAACTGGCCACCTGAATATGTGTTACCCATGATCATCTTAAATTAAAAGCTCATCTTCACTCATAATCCTAGAGGGAAGCAATGCAGTTAAAAGCAAAGGATGTGAACTAATCAGATGCAATGGCTCATGCCTATAATCCCGTCTACTTGGAATGTAGAGACTGGGAGGATCATAGTTTGAGGCTAGCTCAGGCAAAAACTCTGTGAGAACCCCATCTCAACCAATAAAAGCGGGGCACGGTGATGCACATCAGAAAGTATAAATAGGAGGATCACAGTCCAGGAAGGCCTGGGCAAAAATAACAAAAGCAAAAAGGTCTGGAGCATACCTCAAATGACAGAGTGCCTGCCAAGCAAGCACAAGGCGCTAAGTTTGAACCTCAGTACCAAACAAAAAAGAAAAGGATGTAAATTAAAAGAAAAACCTTGTAATTCTTTAAATTCTACGGATTGTTTTTTCCAAATACTCTACTGCTCAAATAATTCAATTCAGTAAGTCGAAATGGTATCAGTAAGAGAGCACCCGAGGCAGGTACAACAGGTATCTAAACCTAACCCTAAGGTTCACAACACTTACAACATGCTGCAAAAGCAACACACACCAGCCAACAGCACAGAACAAAATTAAGTACAAATGTGAGACACTGAATGACAGACTCTAAGTGATCAGAAAAGAAATCAAATGAATCTGGATGATTTCAAGTATCAAAAGTAACAGAAAAATTCTCAAGGCAAAGCTGCTTAAGTGATAATGAAATTCAGGTAGGTGGCTCTAGTGGTAAATGGGGCTCCAGTTCTGCTTCTGTGAAGTCCCCTTGACTCTGCCCTCCACATGAGGCACTGCATTCAGGCTACTAGCAAGATCGCTGCAGCAGTTCCAGAAGTCACATCCAGATATAATCGCTAAAGAAAACAACTTTTTTTTAACCAAAGCAAGAAAACCTTCCCCAGAAGGTTTGCAGTTTCCCTTTTGTCTCCCACTAGCCAAAACTGGTTCCCCTGTCCATTCTTAAAACAATCACTTCCAGGGCTGCTGGAGTGGCTCAACTGGTAGAACACCTACCTAGTAAGCGTGAGGTCCTGAGTTCAAGCCCCAGTGCTAACCCCACCTTACCCCCACACAAAAAAAAAAAAAAATCACTTCCAAAGAGACTAAAACCTTCCACAACCAAGACAAGCTGGTAACTATCATGACCATCACTTCAGTGTTGGCTGAATATTTCAGGCAGTATTATAGAAAATAAATAAAACTACACAGGTAAAGGAAGGGATGGGCCTAAATCACACATTAAACACACTATTAGGGAAAAAAGAATTCTCTTAAACGACGCTATTATCATTCTCTGTATTATAATACAAAAATTAACTTACTATTAGTAAATGCTACTGAAGTAGGGAAAGCAGTCTTATGAAAGAGATTTAAGTATCTAATTATCAGTGGGGATAGTCAGACTTACCACTCCTCATCAACGGAGCCACTCATTCAGCTATATCTGGGTTGAGAATACACCACATCATACATACAGATGACTATGCAGACTCATTATTAGAAATTGTTCCTTGAAGATTCCTTCTCGTTTGGTTTCCAGGTTTCATTCAAAAATCCACCCGCTCAAAGTTGGCCCTATCTGCAAATGAAAGCATGCAATTAAGAGGCAAAAGCTGCAGGGAGCAATTCCTCCCTCTCTCATCTATAATTAACTGATACTTATGAAAACTGAACTCAAACACTAGACTCACTAAGCACCATGTTTAAACAACCTACATTTTAACGCCTGTTATGTGCTTATTATACAGTTACCACCCCATCATATGAATTTATTGTTGCTTTCATAAAACACCAGGTACAACTTTTACCAAAACTGTCCACTGAGCAGAATCCAACAAACACATCTCTAGTGGACCCACACAAAGTTGGCCTACATGGTGTGTTAAAAGACAGCTGCCTGCATTTACAAATCTGAAGAGTTTTTTGAAGGAAACCAGATTTCTGACCTGTCTTAAAAAAATAAGATCTGAAAATACTGGGTCCACACTCCCACATGGTAACAACCCCTTCAGGCTGATTAGCAGCTAACTCTAGCTGGAGCACAGGCTTGCAGTGCTCCACAAATGTCATCACTCTCTTATATTAAAACTTGGCTCACAGTTACCTGTCTTGACCCTGTAAGCATCTCAGTTTGCCAACTCTGCTATATATTTATAATGGCTCACAGGGAACATTTAATTATCGTCCACACTAAGTATGTTTTTCTGACTTGAGGATATAAAATAACATGAGCTTTGGAGTCAGAAGGCCCTAGATTTGAGTTCAAATTGTGCAACTGACCAGCTGTGTGATCTCAGGCCTATATTCAACCTAAGCTATATATCTTCATGTACAAGCATTCAAATAAACATATAAGCAATATCACAGTAAGCAAACAACAGGCCTAAAATCTATCATGTCCAAGTTGGATTAATAATCCTAAACCTATTCCTTCTTCAGTCTCCTCATCTCAGTAAATCACATCATGATCCATGATATAATTACTGCTCAAGACACAAACATAAAAATCCACCCATATATTCTTCCTCATCCCCAAAATTATCACCAAAGCAAACAGTTCTCCTCCAAAATAATTTGAAGATTCTTAGAACTCAGTCATGCACAAAACAAACAATAAAAGTATACACAAATACTACAAAATCCATTTATATAAAATTTGCCTAGGAATGGGGTAGGGAGACAAGAGACTACAAAGAACTGAAAAGAAACTTCTGGGCTAAAAAATATTTCCTGTATCTTTTTGTTATTCTTTTGTTTTTCCGCAGTGCTGGGGATGGAACTCAGGGCCTTCCACATGCTAGTCAAGTGCTCTACCAGTGAGCTACATTCCCAGCCTCAATGTTCAATATATTGAGTGTATGATAACTTCACAGGTATACACATGTCAAAATTTACCAATCTGAACAGTTAATTGTGTACAGTCAATTATGCTTAAAACAAAGTAACTCACTGCATACTGATAATTAGTAGTGACTAATTAATATGAAAAGCAGGACCCTTCCAATGTATTTAGTTTGAAAATCATAGCCACAATCATTCTCTTCAGAAAACTTTCAAAAGTATATCTTAAAGAGTAATAGAGGGATTGAATCTGATTAAAGCACACATGTGCATGTATGTAAATCTCATGGTGAAACCCCTTTGTACTAATTAATATATAATTAATATATACTAATATGTACTAATTTGAAAAGACAAAAAAAAAATCTTACCTTAATGCTACGTATCAGCAATAGTAATTGCTGATCACAAAAAAAGCATAAGCCAAAAACAAAACAGCACTCTAACCTAGTATAATCTGGCATAAGCAAAAAAGGAAATTTGGTAGATTTTAATATTATATATTCAATTCTAGTCCATACAGTCCCCTCATTCCTTCACTGGGTTTTGAACTCAGGGTCTCATGCTTGCTAGGCAGGCACTTCAGCCATTCCACCAGCCCTGTTTTGTGCTGGGTATTTTCAAGATAGGATTTCACGCTATTTGCCCAGGCTGTCTTTGAACCACAATCCTCCTCATCTCTGCCTCTGAATAGCTAGAATTACAGGGGTGAGTCACCAGTGCCTAGCTAAAAAGACATTTTCAACATCATTCAATGAGCATTTGTCTGGGTATTATTATTAACATGTACTTCAAATTCTGCTTAGAAATTATGATAAAGTCTTGAACCAGAACCACTCTAGCAAAATGTGCCAAGTATTGGTGCTTTTTGTACCACATTAAATGCCACCTCTATTACCATCTGCCTGTTACCCATATTAAGACACAGGGCAAAGTACATTATTTCCTTAGCTGACTTTAACCATTAAATTTTATTTTAGGACTGGCAGAGTGGCTCAAGTGGTAGAGTACCTGCCTAGCAAGCGTGAGGCCCTGAGTTCAAACCTCAGTATCACAGAAAAAAGAATTTATTTTAGACAGTATCAAAAGTGTATGCTTCCACTTCTATACAGAAATTTCTATTCTCCCAGTTAGTGTCAGTTCCATCAGACTGCTATGAAAAAACCACTGAGTATTTAAAGAAGTGAACAGTGCTACTTCCAAATACATCTAGGGCAGTCACCTAGAAAAGTTATACTCATTCTGCATCACCCCAACAGCAGACCTAGAATGAATGGCTGGAAGCTTTGTGTTCCACATATTGAAACATTTTTCTGTGTCACTGCTACCTAAAAACAGAGTGCCCTGACTTGGCATATCTATCATCAGAGGTCATCAGGATATTAGATGGTGATTCAAAAGGCCCACTGATAGTTAACTTGAGTCAATATCATGATTCCTTCCAATCCTTACATCCTCTTATGAATTTAAAAATAAAACATATTTTTAATTGCCAATCCACTGCAATTCAAAAGCCTTAAGTTTAAGCTAGTCAAACTACAAAATGAAGTCCCAAGTCTTATAAAAACATTTTTGTTTAGCTTTCAACTTTTCCCCAATGGATGATAGTTCATATTAGCAGGACTTGATTCTATTAAATTATTCTACAATTGAACAAAAAATATATATTTAAATACATGTCCCATTTCCTCGGTCATTTAAAATCAAAACACCAATTTCTTTTTTTCTTCCCCCCAAAATATAGATCTGTTAGGGCCAAATATAGATCTGTAAGAAAGCTAGTCTAATTTCCTCATTTTATAGACTCAGAAAGATAAAGAAATCTGTCCAAAAATCATAACTAATCAGTAAAATGCCTATTAGCACTCAACAAATTACTGCCATTTACTTCCTTTGTAAAGGATAGTATATAACCTTTCATCTAAACAGTTAAAGGGAAAAGTTATCTAGGCAGCAATGTAACCATTGGTGACACTGTTAAGACCAAGTACCTCTTAGCTTGCCTCTTGCTATTGTTTGTGGTATGTTAACATTCCTAAACCCTAAAAGTATAAGATGTAATAGAGTTACTAAAGTGGATACAGGTAAGAGTAGCTGTAGATGAGCCAAAAATATTCAGCAGTGAAAAGATCCTATTTCTAACTGCTGGGTTTTCAGACCCTGGTGGAAAAGGAAAGAATGACAAGGTTATTAAAGATGGACGACTGATGGGAATCCAGAGTCATCTAACCAACTTTGGAAATAGTTTGGCAATTTTTATATAAAGGTACACATTTACTTACCAAAGAAAATGCGTTAGAGGAGACAATATGAGATAGCAGTTAAGAAAAAGAGTCTCTAGAGCCAAACTGTCAGAGTTTGAATTCTGGCTTTGCCATTCATATGAATTCACTTTAGGCAAATTATTCACCCTCTCCATGTCTCACTTTCCTAAACTGTAAAGTGGAATTAATCCATAAGGTTAGTGTGAGGTTTAAATTGGGTTAATACATATAAAATGCTTAGAACATGGTCTGGCACAAAGTAAGCCTTCAGAAGTACAGAGATTAGGATGTGTAGCTCAAGCAGTAGATTGCCAGCTTTGCAAGTCCTGAGTTCAAACCCCAGTCCACCAAAAAAAAAAAAAAGTGGCTTAATACTATACTATTACATTATGCCAGTAATTAGCACAAAGGATTTTTTAAAGTCATGATTTTTTTAGGATATTTTTAAATACATAACACACTCACAGCAACTGCAGGACAATGTAGGATTTAAGATTTTAACTTGAGCCAGGCGCTTGGTGGCTGACACTTGTAATCCTAGCTACTCAGGAAAAAGAGATCAGGAGGATCATAGTTCGAAACCAGGCTGGACAAATAGACCATCACAAAAAAAACAAAAAGGGCTAGTGGAGTGGTTCAAGGTAAAAGCCCTGAGTTCAGACCCCAGTATCTATCTCTCTCTCTCTCTCTCTCTCTCTCTCTCTCTCTCTCTCTCTCTCTCTCTCACACACACACACACACACACACACACACACACACACACACAGCAGTTTAGCTTGAGCTGGTCATGGTACACATATTGGTAATCACAGCACTTGGGAGACTGTGCAAGAGGATCTCAAGTTTGAAGCCAGCCTAGGCTGCATAGAAAGACCATCTCAAAAGAGAAAAAAACTTTTTTTGTTTAACTGTATTTTGTTTATGGTCAAATAAACATGATTTCCAATTCTGACCATCATGGAGAATTGCAGGGAGTTATTTTATCTCTATGAGATTTGGTTTCATTAACTATGCAATGATGACAATGCCACTTAACTCATCAATTATTTTAAGAATGTAATAAGATGTATAAAGTGTTAACTTAGTACAATGTTTGATACAATAACTAAAAACTGAAATGTTTCTTTACGCTATTAACAAAATAAATACATTATGATCATAGTAGCCATTTGTCCTTATTTACTGTGACAGCTCCAATGTATGATGATTTTTAGAACATAATCAACAGCCATTCCTTTTTCTATCTCGTTATGTCCTAGTTTAGATGATAAATGACATAGTGACCTTAATTGAAATGGTTTCAAGATTTTCCCTATATTTAGTTCTTAATTCTCTTAAATGTTCTTTTATTCCCTTTTTAGTGACACAATTTCTTTGATCCCTAACATACTATTCCCTATTTCCAGCCTCTCTCTTGCTCACTCTCCTTATTCAGTCCTTTGGCAACCTCAAGGCTGCAAGGCCATGTTCCTCT